ATGCAGCTCGACTAGGTAAGCTGCGATACAGAGGCAAGTAAGGATGGAGGTTGACTGCAATGCAGGTTGACAATCTTCTCCTCATATGGGATGCAGAAGGGGGAGGCACGCGTACATTGCGTCACCGAAGGTGGATCCAAGACCAATGCTAGTGGCGTGAGTTGAAACAGATACCTCCAACTCTTTGAAACCAGATTGGAATGCCCGCCATCGCGTTGCCCTTGAAATTGTCTTTCCTTTGCCATACACAAATTCCAATCATTTGCGTATTCCATTGGTGGTTTTCTGACATATGTGCTTGTGCATGCGCCGACTTAAGCCAAACTGTGGTCGGGACTCGTGTCGCACAAAACAAAAATCAAATTTAGCCAATCAACGCCTACGGAAAATATGTGCAACCAAAAGGCAGACGCAAATTTCAAGCATAAAGCGGAGGTATTTCGCACAATTTTTTATTAGGCATTCCATCACGTAACAAAATGAAATGGTTTACCCCATATTCTGTGCCCTCGTGGATAAAATTTGATTTGCTTTAGTCCTCTTCAAATTCTCCATTTAAACCTAAATAGCAAACCAATATTTTACGCACTAGCAGCAGCAAACTGTTGTCCAGAATGTTCAAAACACGGTGCACTGATTGCATGTCGCCAATGCGGAGGCGTTCGACCTTAACCTTTCTAGCGACTTGAATCACTTTCCACAAATTGTTAGCGAAACGGGTAGGTACTTTTGCTTGTATTCAGAGGCGCATTTGGTGACTTGGACTCTGGTTCCATGCAGGGTGGTCCTAATTTCTTCCCTCCAAATGCCCGACTTAAAGACTGCATTGCTGTCGCAGTAAAAGGGCTTTGAGACTTTCTTGATCTCACTCTTCAAGCGTAACTTATAGAGGACCAAAATTACGTTTGTAAGTCAGCTGAACATTAGCATTATCGGCTGATCAGTCTATTGCAATTGCTTTCCGCCTCATCTGCATGTCATCCAGGAATAAGTGGAGGGTATAAGCACAGGACACTGAGTCTGCAGCTGCGATCTACTAATCTGGTCAGGTGTATTTGCACAGATGTAGATTAAAAAGGGATTGTGGCAGAGTACTGCTGCGGCTGTACTAATTAAGCATGGGAATGAGGAATTCAGTCAGCGATGTGACATTTACGTGCCTGTGGGTCACTTGCAGTGCCACGCATCCGTTCAAACACACTTCAAACGCGTGCATAGCAGAATATAGAAGGGGTTGAATTTCTAGATATTGAAGGCATCTAATGGCAATGCATAAGTGCAGACCAGGCCCAGCAGCATGCAGCCATGCACAAAGGCTCTTACACATAACCGAGTAAGACGCCTGAAGGTGGGAGACTCAACACTGAAACAAAAAGTGGCGTTATGCATAGTGAGAAGAATGCAAGTTGTGGAGGTCTGTCCTCTTTAAACTCGTATTTACGCTGCCTCCAAATTCAT